TCACCTCTACATTGCGTTTGTCATGACAAAGGATGATAATTCCCCTCCACCTCCTCCACCGACTAACGAGTTCCATCCGGCGCTCACTGTCACCAATATCAAGAACGCAATTCCTCTCACACTCGATTATGAAAAAGTTCAATACTCAAATTGGGTGGAATTGTTTGAGAATCACATGGTCGCTTATAATGTTTTAGATCACATTGATCCAAACACACCTCGACCTTCCGATGTCTCCGACGCATTTTGGAACCGCTTGGATGCCATTGTTAAGCAATGGATTTACGGCACCATATCCTCTGATCTTCTTCAAACAATCCTAAAGAGAGTCTACAGCACAGCAGACATGGATCGGCTCAAAGATATTTTTTAGGACAACAAGAGCACACGAGCAGTGTTTCTTGAAACACAATTGAATGCAATTCACCTTGATGCTTTCCCGAATGCAACTGCATACTGCCAGCAATTGAAAAGTATTGCCGACCAACTTGCGAACGTCGATCAACCGATTTTCGATCAGAAACTGGTTCTTCGTATGGTTGCCGGCCTCAATAAGACCGATTATGACACGGTCGCCACAATGATTGCTCAAACTGACCCTTTGCCTTCCTTCAACAACGCCCGTTCGCGACTCCTCCTAGAGGAGACGCGGTGGAACAATGACGCCTCCAACTCGCCCTCTGCTTTCGTCGCACAGCAACAGCAATCAAGTGCTGCGACGGAGCCCTCATAGCAGCAACAATCGGCTGCCGGCGGTGGCCGTGGCAGTGGCGCCGGCGCCGGCCGTGGCAGAGGTGGGGGTAAAGGCACACGAGGCAAAGGAAGGGGTCAAGGCCGTGGTCAAGCTCGAGGTTCTGCTTCACAACAACCAAATTCGAACCAGCCCACTCAACAATCTTCAGCGAATGGGCCAACTGGCCAACCATGGGCCCAACAAAACTCATGGCCTCAGCAGCAAATTAACTGGCCACACTGGCTGTCCCACCAGCTCCATTTCCAACTATGGGCCATTATCAGCAGCGGCCCAGTACTCCAAATTAGCAGGCCTACTACATTGGAGCTCCCATGTATGGACCTCCTATGACGCCCACAGAACTTGGCAGTGCCTACTCATCACTGGGGTTGTCTACACCAGATAACGGGTGGTGTATGGACTCGGGAGCCACCTCTCACATGACTCACACTTCCGGTAATCTTCTTCCCTTGTTTAATTTAAGCACTAATAATCATATTTTGGTTGGTAATGGTCATCGTATTCCAATAACTGGTTATGGTCATACCTCTTTTCCGAACAAACTTACTCTTAAAGATGTTCTCCTCGCCCCTCAAATTATTAAAAACCTTATTCCAGTTCGTAAATTTACCTCTGACAATTCGGTTTCCATTGAATTTGACCCTAATGGTTTTTCTGTAAAGGACCTTCGAACGGGGAGGGTAATCACCAGATTCAATAGTTCCGGAGATCTTTATCCCATTACCACCAATTATCCGACCACTTGTCTTGCCACTTCTCTCACCACAGTCACTCCCTCTACTTAGCATGATCGTCTAGGACATCCGGGAGCACCTTCTTTAAGCTTTCTTAGGAGCAATAATTTCATTAATTACAATAAAGAGCACCACTCTAGTTTTTGTAATTCTTGTCCATTAAGGAAACATGTTAGACTTCCTTTTTCTGATTCGATCAATAATACTTTTTGTGCTTTTGATATTATTCATGCCGATTTGTGGACATCTCTTATTCGTAGTTGTAACGGTCACAAATATTATTTGGTTTTACTTGATGATTTCACTCATTATGTTTGGGCAATCCCTTTAGCTTCTAAATCCCAAGCCTTTCAAGCTTTTCTCACTTTTAGACAATATGTGCAAACTCAATTTGAAAGACCTGTTAAATGCTTTCAAAGTGATCATGGTCGAGAATTTGATAATGATTCTTTCAAAAAATTTTGTCTAGATAATGGAATAGTGTTTAGATTCTCTTGCCCTCACACTTCTCCCCAAAACGGCAAAGCCGAACGCATGATTCGCACCATAAATAATATCAATCGTACTTTACTCTTCCATGCTTCTCTCCCACCTTCCTTTTGGGTTCATGCTTTAGAGACTGCTACTTATCTTCTAAACATTTTGCCAACCAAGTCCTTGAAGAACTTGACCCCGGCTCAAGCCCTCTTTCGCAAAAACCCATCATATGATCATCTTAGAATTTTTGGTTGTCTTTGTTTCCCGAATTTGGCCGCTACCGCTCCTCACAAGCTCTCTCCAAAATCAACTCCATGTGTGTTCCTAGGCTACCCTTCCAACCATCGTGGATATAAGTGTCTTGATCTCTCCACTAATAAAATTATTCTCTCTAGACATGTGATATTTGATGAGTCGAGTTTTCCAGCAAAAATTTGGAAAAATTCAAATTGGCAGACTATGATTTTTTGGGACTTAATGACCAATCTCCCTTGCTCACACACCCCTTTCTTCGATATCAGCTTTTTGAAGCTAGCCCAACTGCTCCCACTCAGCAGCCCCAAAACCCAGCCCATATTCCCCGAGCCCATCCCGCCAGCTATACACCTGGGCCAACTTCAGCGCCTGGGCCAGCTTTTGCTGGGTCGTCAGCACTGAGCCCAGGACACACACCCCCTGCCATACCCCTTTGCGGCCCACTTGCGGTCATCTAAGCCAAGCACCGGTCTCCCCGCAAACCCCACTGCTTTCCACCCCAATTGCCACCACTTACTCCCCGCCACCTATGCGTGGCATCGCCCTTTGCAGCCCACTAGGCCACCACCCCCATCTCCCCGAGTCACCCGTAGTCAACGGGGCATTTTTAAGCCAAACCCGAAATATTGCAACCTCACCGTTCAAAAATCGGGTTCCCCTCACATTAAATTACCTCTTCCAAAATCTTATAAACAAGCTTTAAATGACCAAAATTGGAATGCGACGATGAATGATGAGTATAGTGCTTTAATTAAAACAGGGACATGAGATTTGGTGCCTAGACCTGCGGGGGTGAATATTGTTAATTGTATGTGGCTATTTAAGCATAAATACAAGTCTAATGGTGACCTTGAAAGGCACAAAGCTCGTCTTGTATGTGATGGTAGGTCGCAGGAAATTGGTGTGGACTGTGATGAGACGTTCAGCAGTTAAACCGACCACTATTTGAACTGTTCTGAGTTTAGCACTGGCTAAAAAGTGGTCAATTCATCAATTAGATGTCAAAAATGCCTTTTTACATGGTGATTTGCAGGAAACTGTTTACATGCATCAACCTCCAGGTTTTGTAGATCGGAGGGCACCCTCTCATGTTTGTCGGCTCCGCAAGGCTCTTTATGGTTTGAAACAAGCTCCCAGAGCTTGGTACCAACGCTTTGCCAGTTTTCTTATTAAATTGGGTTTTGTCATTACTAAAAGTGACACTTCTCTATCTACTTTTCGGCAGGGAGATGAAATGGCATATATGCTCTTATATGTTGATGATATTCTTTTAGCTACCTCATCTGACAGGTTGCGCACATGGATAATCTCTCAGTTACAAATTGAGTTTCCCATGACTGATTTGGGGCCTCTGAGTTATTTTTTGGGTATTGCAGTAACCCGAAAACCTTCTTATATGCTACTTTCGCAGGAAAAGTATGCACAGGAGATTTTAGAGCGTGCAGGGATGGCCTCTTGTAAGCCTGCCACCACTCCAGTTGACACTAAGTCCAAACTTAGTGCAGATGCAGGGCCACCTTTTCGGGATCCTAATTTGTATCGCAGTTTAGCAGGTGCTCTTCAGTACCTCACTTTTACCTAACCAGATATTTCCTATGCGGTGTAACATGTGTGTCTTTTTATGCATGATCCTCGGGAACCTCATTATGAGGCATTGAAACGCATTCTGCGTTATGTTCAGGGTACCATTGATCACGGTCTACATTTATATCCTACTGTTTCACATCAACTGATTACTTACACTGACGCTGACTGGGAAGGTTGTCCCGACACCCGACGTTCCACATCGGGCTACTGTTGTTACCTTGGGGACAACCTCGTCTCCTGGTCATCTATGCGTCAACACACATTATCCAAGTCGAGTGCAGAAGCAGAATATCGAGGCGTCGCAAATGTTGTCTCTGAGGCGTGTTGGCTCCGTAATCTTCTCCTGGAGTTTCATTGTCCTCTACGGCAGGCTACTATTGTTTATTGTGATAATGTCAGTGCTATCTACCTTTCAGGCAACCCCGTACAACACCAACGCACCAAACATGTGGAGATGAATATTCATTTTGTTCAAGAAAAGGTTGCGTTGGGACAAGTTCGGGTTCGACATGTTCCTACTAGATATCAGTTCGCAGACATTTTCACTAAAGGCCTACCGCGGGAATTATTTCTGGAATTTCGATCCAGTCTTAGCGTACGACCTCCTCCCGCTACGACTGCGGGAGTGTGATAGATATTATATTTAGGATAATATTTGTCACAGTTTAGGATATATTTAATGTATATTTTGTATGTTTATCGTATCTAGGATTCCTTATCCTAGCGTTGTAATCTCTATATATTTGATCAATGGTACACACTCCAGATTGAGGAGTTTTCCCGAAATCTAACATGCACCAACACGTTAACTTGGTATAGTAATGTTGTTGAATTGATCCATGCCACAAATCTATGAATTGGTAATAAATATATTATTGGAGTACATAACATCAAACACATACATATATAAATATAAAGAATCAATCATCTTTTTATTGGAACAAAGACATCAATGACATTTATGAATGATTTTATAAAGTATCATTCAAGGTTAATACTTTGGATATTGAATAATGAGACACTTTCAAGAGTGAATTCTTAAATTTGATCGATCCTAATGCATATGATACAAGAATGAAAATTATTTATAGTCGAATATGTTTACATTTAATACAACGAAACACAATGCAAGCACATAATTAATTAAATTTAACCTATTACGGTATGTCTAAATGTAATATGAAGTAATATACTTATTCCGTAGTTTGATTGAATGAGGTGAGTTTCATGAAATGTTGCCAAGGCCTTTCATACACCACAACCTCATAACGGTGGACATCGGCGTGGCTGCATAGCGTCTTGGCAGTGATGATAAGGCGGTAGTTGAGGCCGGCAACAACCTGAGTCCACCCCTTAAGGATGCTCAACAACTTGACCTTGTGGCCTTCATCTAGCATGTTGTGTTCCTTCACAGCAAATTGCGCCACCTCAATCACATGTGGATCACTTAGGTTCGTTATTGGACTGTAGCCTCCGAGAGGCAGATCCGGAGGGGGAATCTCTTCAGCGGCGGAGACGACGATGATGAGTAGAAGGGAGAAAAGGCAGTAGAGTTGAAGATCTGTCCTCATTTTTGATTAGTTCTAGATCAAGAAATGGTATAAAACTTAGGGAATGTGTTATTATATAAACAAGGAATTTGCTTGGGATATTTCCTTTGGACCCTTGGTTTATGCAAAAGTCATCGTGTGATGTCATGTCCTTCACAAGTGGAAATTGTCTCCTATGCATGGGATCCTAGAACATTTAATAGATACATTTCAAAATATAGTATTACCTTATAATGAATAAAGATTAGTTTAATTCTAAAAAATAAATGTTAACATATCACATATTGGTACAAATGTACAATAGTACACCTTAATCAATTGCAAAGTAAGATACCATATACTCCCTATGAAATATGGAATATTATTTTATGAAAAGTGCACCCTTAACTCAATAACTGAAAGTAGTACCTCTTCGACTCTTTGTGAATACATCCCCATTTGTTTTAAAGAATAATACGTAAAAGAAAAAGTAAGCTTATTTTAGCCTAAACGTTCTTTTTTGTCTTAACTAAAAAATATAGAATTAGGCTTTGCAATATAGTAATGAGTTAATGACATATTTTAAACGTTTGTGAATACCCCCATTTGTGGATTATGCTTGAACTTAATATTAGGTGGAATAACGAACAAGATTAAACTTAGCTTGTCTCGTAGCAATGAATTGATACAGTATTAGATTTTTAGTATAAGTTGTCATGCAATTATCTCGATATATATATATATAACTGATTGTTTGGAATTTACAACTTTCTATGACAGATATTCTTGGATCCTTCAAGATCATTACAAGCTAAGCTAGCTACAATCTGATCCTACTACTCACGGCGAGCATGAAAAATTACAACTTCCCGATCAAACACAGCCTTAAGAATCCGAAGACATAAATTTTCTAGGGTGGTAAATAATATGCATCTTTGGGTCTTAATAAATTGGCGCTGATCATATAGATCACGCCCTATTGATCGATATAACACTTTGGCTAGGGTGGCTCTGTTGATCGATATAACACCTTATGCCCTGCATCATCCACCAGTAATTCAGTATACGTATCGGCGAGCAGCTGATCAAAGTTATAATGCTTGTAGGCTGCGCCAAGTTAACGGGTAGTTCACCATTTTATCGGTACCAAAAACATAGGCTCCTGCTCAAGAGAAATGTGTTAGAAATTAAATTAGTCTTTTTTCATCTATATTAGAGTATTACATCAAATCTACTTATAGACAGTACATAGGATAGAACTATGGAATGGAAGATCATGATTAATAATATAATATGATTGTGCGTGACTTCATAATTTTTCATACATTACAACTTCACATATTTAAATCACGGAGTACCATACCATGGTCCAAGCTACTACACATTTAATAAGTGTTCGAGGGTACCAAACTTTAGTTTTAACAATCCATTATCAAAGCTATATTACCACTTTCGGAGTCAATTGATCCCACTTTAATTTACAAATTTTGGATGATGGTGTAAAAATGTTTTGGAAAATACTTGTATTAGAGATTTGGAGTAACCATCTGACCTCAATAAAAACATATCAAATCTTTACTGACCTCACTTAATTTTTTTATTTTTTATTTTAAAATCCGTCACTAAATTTAGTCATATACATACCTTTAAAGCAAATAAATTAAGTCATAAACTAAACTAGAAGTTAAAAAGAAGTTGCTTACCAAGAGTAGGCATTAGAACAGACAGAGCAAGGGTGCCAAAAATCTTCAAAGGGAAGCCAACCTTGAGCATATCCTTGATCTCAATATGCCCAGTAGAAAACCCAACGACATTCGACGGTGTTCCGGTTGGAAGCAAGTAAGAAAATTGTGCTCCAATTGCACCAGGGACCATGAGTAAGAGCGGGTGCAAATGCATGGTTTTTGCAATTTGTATTAGCAACGGGATCAACAATGTTGTGGTGGAGTTGTTGGAGGTGAACTCGGTAATCGCTCCACCAATGAGGCACACCACCGGGGCAATCGCCCAAAACGGGGCGTTCTCAAGGAAGTCCAACGCCTTGGACAGGACATCTGCAAGGCCGCTTGTGCGGACACCTTCGGCTATAGCGAAACCGGCTCCTAATAGAAGGACTATGTTCCAAGGTAGCTTCTTGCACTTGTTCCAATCCATTAGTTTTTCTCCCTTTTGCCTCTTGTTTGGTATTATGAATAACAAAGTTGCCATCAAAACCTAAACATATATGTAGTCTAATCAGTTCAAGCTATAATGGTTGAGTATTAAGAGTGATGCTATGTGCAACATAAAATTTTTTAGGAATTCCAATTCTGTATTCTAAAATTTCTGTTTTCATATGAACATAGTAGTTAGTAAGTTAATATTTAATCTTCTATAATGTGTTACAAAGTATGTATGTTAAGTATATGATAATTAAAATTTAGTATACAACACACATCTCTATTCCAATTACACATTGTTGAGCCTTTTGGTTTTGATGGACAAATTGACAAACTCGACTAATGAATGTTTTGAGTCTTTGGTGAATAAAGGATTCAAGCAAAGTTCGTTCCGGAGTAGGAACTTGGATGCGGAGTAGCATTCTTTAAAAAGCCTCGTGCAAATCTCACGTTCTAGTTTTAATTGTGAGCACTCAATAATATAAAGTCGGAAAGGAACTCAATGACTTATGTTAAAGACTACTGGAATAAAAGTTAGTTTTAAAAGATAATTTCTTAAAGAAAAGATAATTTGTAAAAGTTTTAATAAAGATAATTATCGAAGATAATTATCTAGTTGTTTTAATAAATAATAAATTTATCTTTTCAAATAAAATCTTTTTAAACAAACTTTTGATAATCTTTTAAATAAATATTTGATAAAGTTAGCAAGTGGTTTTTCTGTGAGAAAATCTTTTATACGGCTAATGGTTATCAAGTTGTTAGGATAGTGGTTTAATTAGATAAGGCTAGGAAACCTCTTCATGATCACAATCTGTCAAGATAACTCCACAAGTTGTTAGTGGGTTGTTGACATGTGGACGTGATTATGGTGGAGGTTAATGACTAAGCCTTCTCTATAAATACTCATGCAAACTATCTCAGAAAAACATAACTCTTGAGCATAAAAATTCCAGTAGCCATCTAATAACATAAAGAGAGTTATTTTCCTTCATATATTCTTGAGTGCAATAGGTATTTGTAATCACAGATTGTATTCAAGTACTTAGGGGTTGGGATTGTGAGTTTGTAAAGTGAGGTCAAGGAAGCTTCGTTGCTGAAGTCTTCTGTGAGAGTTGGGAACAAGTTCCTAATTTGTGGAACTTGTTAACGGGTTTGAATCTTCACTTGTAAAGAGTTTGATTACTTAGTGGAAATTTAGAAAAGCCTATATCTTCTCTCGTCACTATTTCATTTAGTTAAATTCCGCAAAAAGTTTTTAGATTTCACCTCAAATACAATTCACCCCCCCTCTTGTATTAGCCAGTTAGACTTTCAGTTGGTATCAGAGCAGGAACTCAGAACACGCAGGCAACCCTGTTGAGTAAGTTCCTGGAAAATGGCTTACACAGAGGAAAAGGAATTCGGGAGTACATCCATTCAAAGGCCTCCATACTTCAACGGCAAATTTTATCCTTATTGGAAGGATAAGATGGAAATCTTTATCCAAGCAGAGAATTATCAGGTATGGCGAATTATACAAGTAGGAGATTACGAAATTACGAAAACGAATGCTAATAATGAGGTAATCCCTAAACCTATGGATGAGTATGAAAAAACTGATTTTGAAAAACTTGAAATGAATGCTACTGCCAAAAAGTTTTTAATTTGGGGACTTGGACCCGATGAACATACTCGTGTCAAAGGGTGCAAGTCCGCAAAGGAAATTTGGGATCTTCTGGAAGTTACACATGAAGGAACGTCAGATGTTAAACGTTCCAAAATAGACATTCTTTTGTCTCAGTATGAGCGCTTTGAAATGGGAAACAAAGAATCCATTAAAGACATGTTTACTCGATTTAAAGGTATTACTAACGAACTAACGTGTCTTGGCAAGATAATTCCTATAGATGAGCAGGTCAGAAAAGTCTTAAGAAGTCTTCCAGACAATGACAGATGGAGAGCAAAGGTTGCAGCGGTGCAGGAATCAAAAGACTTCACCAAGTTCAATCTGGAACATCTTGCGGGTTCCCTCATTACTCACGAGATCCAGTCGAACAATCGGACTCAGGAGACTGTCAAAAGTCAAGGGCTAGCATTAAGAGCTAATGAAGAATCCGAAGAGAAGTCTGACATCGATGAAGAAGAAGCTGCAATGTTGGTGAGAAGGCTGAAAAAATTCTACCGTAACAACAAGTTTTTAGACAAGAAGAAAGGATACAGTAAAAGAAATCAGGAACCCAAAGCCAAGTCTTCTTGTCACAAATGTGGAAGCACCAACCACTTCATCAAAGAGTGTCCATTATGGGAATCTGAGAAAGGCAAGGGAAAAGAAGCTGATCAAAGCAGAAATTCCAAGCCTAACTTTTCTAAAACAAATTTCAGGAAAGCAATGATTTCCACGTGGGGAGAATCAAGTTCCGAAGAAGAGGAACAGGAACACACAGACGATGAAGTAGCCAATCTCTGTCTAATGGCAAAGCATGATGATGAGGTAGTCATTCAACCTAATTATTTGAAATCTCTCTCAAAGGATAAATTAATCTCTTTATTGTTAGAAACCTTAGATGAATATAAAGAATTATGTGCAAAACTAAGGCAAGCCGAAAAGGCAACTGGAATTTGTAGAGATCATGTTAAGTATCTGAATAGCTTAAGAAATGATGTTCAAGGCAGATTCTTTGAATTGTTAGATAAAAATATTATGCTAAAAGAATCCCTTGAAAGAGTCAAGAGTGAGAATATCATGCTGAATATTGAATTGACTCAATATAAAATGTTGTGTACTAACATTGATTCTTGCAGGTCTACTGAAGTTCCTTTAATCATGTTTAATAATGAACTAGAGCATGTTAAGAAAGAGATAAAGGAAACCAATGATAAAAATGAGAAACTAGAAAAGGACCTAGAAATTGCAAGAAAAAGTAAAAATACAGCAAGCACGGGTGTTCCCAAGTGGGTAAAGGAAGCTCAGACAAAAAGAACAGAAGGTCTAGGCTATGTTCATAAGAAGAAGTCCACTGGAAAGAAAAAGAAATATGTGAACTTACCTAGTGAGACCGTTTGTTCTTTCTGTGGTAAAAAGGAACATCGCAGTGAAGAATGTACTAAGAAAGCAAATCTGTACAATAAGAATGTGAATTATGTTTGGCAGAAGAAATCTGATTTAAATGTGTCAACACAGGAACCCATGAATGAAAGGGTTCCTACTACTAACTCTTAATTTCTTTTGCAGGTCGAAGTGAGGGGGAACAACCAGTGGTACCTCGATAGCGGTTGTTCTAAGCACATGACAGGAGATGAATCCAGATTTCTCTCACTGACGGCCTATACAGGGGGAACAGTGACCTTTGGAGACAATAAGAAAGGCAACATTGTTGCTGTTGGCAAAGTAGGAAGGTCAAGTTCCCATGCAATTGACAATGTATTTTTAGTCGAGGGTTTGAAGCATAATCTACTCAGTATTTCTCAGTTTTGTGATAAAGGAAACTTTGTAAGCTTTTCTTCTGAAAAATGCAAAATCATCAACAATAACACTGGTAAAATCGTTTTGGAAGGAACTCGTAAAGGGAACACATATACCGTGGACCTTAACAAAGTTCCAAAATACAATCTATCTTGTTTAAGTGTTATTGAGGATGATCCACTTCTATGGCATAAACGTTTTGGACATGCTAGTCTTTCATTGCTTGACAAATTAAGGTCAAAGGACTTGGTAATCGGATTACCTTCTATCAAATTCCTAAATGACAAAATTTGTGAAGCCTGCATCAAAGGAAAGCATGTTCGATCATCATTTAAATCAAAGAAAATGGTAAGCACCACAAAACCATTGGAACTCATTCATATGGATTTGTGTGGCCCCGTTAGAATTCAAAGTAGAAGTGGAAAAAGATATGTCTTAGTTCTTGTGGATGATTATTCTAGATTTACATGGGTCATATTCTTACATAGTAAAGATGAAACTTTTGATATGTTTATGACTTTCTTGAAAAAGACACAAAAATCAATAGGTAATCAACTTATTCATATGAGAACTGACCATGGTACGGAATTCGAAAATTCCAAGTTTGATGAATTTTGCAGAGAACAGGGAATAAGTCACAATTTCTCAGCGCCAAGAACACCACAACAAAATGGTGTGGTTGAGAGGAAGAACCGAACATTGGAAGACATGGCAAGAACAATGCTAATAGCAAGTGGGCTTCCAAGAAATTTTTGGGCAGAAGCCGTCAACACAGCATGCTATATCGTCAACCGAGCCATGCTCAGACCAATGTTGGACAAGACACCTTATGAACTGTTAAAAGGGAGAAAACCTAATATTGCTCATTTAAGAGCTTTTGGATGCAAATGTTTTGTTCACAATAATGATAAAAGAAATCTTGGAAAATTTGATGAAAGGAGTGATGAAGCAGTCTTTTTAGGATATGCATCTAATAGTAAAGCTTATAGAGTTTACAATAAGAGGACTATGTGTGTAGAAGAAAGTATACATGTGATTTTTGATGAAACTAATAATTATGGTTGTATACAGGAATATGAAGATGGAGATTTTGAAATTGGTCTCACTCGTTCAACAGACCAAGATGAAGAATTAATTCCCAGAAAGCAGCATGTTCGAATTACTGAAAATACTAATAAGGAACCTACTGAAGTTCCAAATAATACTGAAGCCTCTGATCAAAATACAGAAGAAACAGAAAATACAGAAGGCGAAGCAAATGCAGAAGCAGAACACCATGAAGAAATGGAAGAAAGAGCAACTCAAAATAACACTTTTATACCAGCTCAATCATTCCAACCAAAGCCATGGAAACATCAAAGGTCACACCCCCTGGATAAAATTATAAGTGACCTAAGCAAGGGAACTCAGACGAGATCCCAACTGAGAAACTTCTGTGCATTCAACGCCTTCTTATCAACACTGGAACCTCGAAATCACAAAGAAGCCTTGGAAGATGCTGATTGGATTGTTGCCATGCAAGAGGAATTAAATGAATTCGAAAGAAACAAAGTGTGGCACCTTGAACCCAAACCAACAAATCAAAAGGTTATTGGTCTCAAATGGGTATA